GGGGCATTCCGAGGACCTATGTCCCGACTCTCCACAATGGAAGCAATGACCCACACTACCCGTTCCGCTAGGAGCAAGTTTTGCAGGTTGCTGCTGCTTGTACCCACCAGGAGGAGGAACAGAGGGCCTAGGACCAGAAGAAGCTGCTGGTGGTCTCCAACCACCACCACCTTTGTTAACCGTTGCTTGTGAGCCTCTAGGGCAGAACCTACTTTCCACCCTCTGTTTCCGATCACCTTGTTTATTCCCAGAATTTTTATTCTTATCCGAGTTACCAGCATACGATTGCTGATATTGTTCCATAAGCGAGTGACTAAAGGCAACTTGCTGCGCCGCCTCCTTACACTCCAGGTACGTCTTTGGCTTAAACTTCAAAATCTCATTATGAGAAAGTGAACTCAAACCCTCCAGGAAATAACTCCGAGCATCTTCGTCACTCATATTTGCAATCATAATGCGCTTCTGAGCAAACGCATTAACGTAATGCATGAGATCCCCTCGCTGCTTTAACCGCCACAGCTCCGTGCGAAGTCTCAGACCAAGATCATCCGGCAAGTATTCCTTACGGATACGAGACCGCATCTTGGTCCAACTTCTAGGCTACCCTTTTTCAGCACACACCTGGCGCCACCAAGTTTTGGCATGATCGGTGAGAAAGGATTGCGCACACGCAACTTTCGTACGATCATCTACGTCTGCCGCTATGAAATAGTTTTCCATATCGTAGACCCAGTCTTCCAAAACTTGATAGTCCCGCATGCCTCTAAAGTTGGGTGGTTTCGGGGGCTTGAACTTTGAAACTCGTGCAACCAGGGGCAGCTGCAGAACTTCATCGTCCTCAGAACTCAAAGAGGAGTTCGGTTGCTTAGGCTTAGCTGGTTTAGTTACCTCAGCCTCTTTCTTCCTCTTCTTGTTCTCCTTCTTCAATTTGAGAATCTCCTTTCGCAAATTCTCGATCTCGACTTCTTGAGCTGTTTGCTACAGCACCGCAGCATCTGGCTCTTCCTCTTCTGACTCAGCCTCTGCCTCTTCTGCACCATCTCTAGCAGGAGTTTCCTCCTCTCGATTTGCCTGTCTAGAGGTTTCAGCGTCATCAGCACGGTTCCGTTTCACCATCCCGCTAGCTGCATGCATGCCTCTACCAGTAACTGAACATGCATACAACGTTCTTACCGAATGGTGCAATCCAACTAATCCTACACAGGTCACTTTGGATCTACTAGAAAAGTCTCTGCGTATGCAACTTGAGTCAGAAAATCCGACAAAAGTTGGATAGGAATCGCTGAGACAATTCCTCTGATACCAAATGTAGCGCACCTGAATTTGGAGCCGAACTCCAAGCCCGTTGCGCTACGAAACAAGGGTCCAGTACAATCCCACGAGCACCAGCTCCCCGTATCCAACACTTGCACGCAAAATGGTGTCAGACGGAGTCTGGCACGATTTTGGCATACCCCGGGAGGAGGAGGGTACTCCACCGACTAGAGCAGCGTGGAGCTTGGGCTTAGACCCAAGCCGGACGCAGAACAAGGAGCGACACCTTGTTCCTTGTTGTTCTCAGGTGGTCAGACATGCATTCCAACCACTATCCCTACTATACATTTGGAACCCCCCAAAGCCCCCCCCCCCCCCCCTTGAGGGACACACGCTTTGGGCTTTCACCCCAAGCCTCCCTTAGTACCAGGAGTTAGTCTCTGGGACAAGTCCGAAACTTACTAAATATGGAATGTCCTTAGATTGCGAATTTGGACACGGGACGAACACCATTGTGTTCAGGCCAATCTCTACATTCCGTAGATATGCCAAATGAGTTAATCTAGACACTTTCCCTAAATAGCATTTGGGACCGAAATGAGATCAACACAAAGGGCGTGATAGTGAGGGTGTTTGGCAAACACAGTAAGCTATCATCTAGCGAATATTGAGGGATTAGTCTCAATATCGCGGGGGTTCCCAACATTAGCAAGTGCAAATCAACATCATGAGTTTCTCATCACCGTGTCAAGTATGCTTGACTTAATGACAACTTAGGATTTCCTTCCTTAGTGCCCTTCCGGTCTAAGTGCACATGTGCTAACTAGTTTCTCAACTAGCTTGGGCAAAGACCACAAAGGGAACCAGCAGTACCGACCTCCTGCTGTCGTGGCAGTAAGGAGAGAGTGCCCGTAAGGACTGGTCGACAAATATCTTTCGATACCTGAAGTCACATTCGCGACAATCACGGGTCCATCTCGGGTCCTCTTGTGTCCCTTTTCTAGAGACTCTTTTATTGCTCACTTCATGCTCGTTTCTTGAGCACTCCGTTGGGAGCTCCACTCCCACTCTCAACCTTTGAAGTCGGAGCCTTTTAGTCCAAACGTGTTATGCTTGTTTGGTTTTCGCTTCGGCCACTACCACATGGCACCTTTTCAGCTCCACTTTGGGGCTTAGGGATTTGTGTCTCACATAAGTCTTGTGGTACCAATAGATGTTAAGAACCTGAAGTTTGGTGTGCTTAGCTATTTGTGCTTATGGAGAGTGTAGCCAAACTTTAAATTTAGTCTAACTCAAGGGGGGGATTGGGAGGGAATTTAAGAAATCATAAATGGATGGCTAACGCTTTGTTGCTCATGCAGTGAGTAACTGAAGCTAAGTAAAACTTAATAGAAGTTAGAAATATAAGTGGGAACCTTGGCAAAGGAACTTAACTAAGGCCAAAGTAATAGTGGTTAGATAGACGAGGTAAACTAGCAAATTAGAAAGGAAAATTTTGTGATTTATAATGGTTAAGTGACTAAAATAAAATGAAAAAATTAGTCACTTACAATTTGGTATTAGAGCTGTTCCTTAGTCCAACTTTTATTGATGGTTAAGTATATCACCACTCATAATTGCATTAGAAGGTCCCAGAAGTGGGTCTATCCTCAAGGAGTAGCATGTTGAGAAAGCTTGACTCTCCACCTTAATTCATATGTAAATATGTTGGCAATATGGTAGATAGAAAGGGGCCAAATAGGGAATGATTTTGGCTGGCTAATGTGGTTATGGTAAACAATTATAGTTGAGATCATGGAAAAGATAGAAACTTTGAGACAATAAAGGAGTTATAGGATTATCCTTATATGGTTGAAGATGGTGCTCATAAATTTGAGACTAGAGTTAATAACTGTGGGAGGTCAAATACAGATGAGAGTATGTGTTCTTGAAATAGTAGCTGGGGTTACCTTTAGTAAAGGTCAGTGCAACCCAAGGAATTGTAGGGTGCATTCAAAAGATCAATTGGTATTCTCATTATATGATAAAATAATTCTAAGAAGCGAAAATAACTTATATAGAACGAAGGGTAAACAAGTGTTGGAATAGCACAGTCCTTGTGAATAAAATGCAAATACAAGAAGTTATATTCAAGTGTGGTGGCACTTCAAAAGTAGCCAGAAGGTTAAGACATTATAAGATATTAGATTCACAAAGTTTAAAAGTTACATGACTCAATAGAGTTAAAGGATGGTCTTAAAGGCTTAGAGGAATCTTGTTTGGATAAAGGTCTGTTGTACCCAGGGAGGGGACGCTAACACAAACCATAGGAATATTCTAAGAATATTCCTATGGCTTGTGGTTGGGAGGTTGGCCTAGGGTTTGCTCTTTTATTCATTTTATTGGTATCGGAGTAACACATTTTTTGGGGATGGCGAGTGAGAAAGATATTGATCCTGATGAGGAGTATGACGTTAGTGATGATAGCAATGACGATGAAGAAGAGACTCTTGATGATGTCGTTGTGTGGCAAGGATGCCAGATTTTTTAAGTTCAGAGTGATATAAAGGAGGTTAAGGATTCTATCAATCTCATTAAGGATTTCTTGCTTCATATGAACCCTCAAGGATTGAATCGATCTCATGTCCGTGATTACCATTGGTACATCAAGCATGCCAGGGATTATGGTATCATGGAATAGAAGTCATCATTGGATGTTTGTGATAGTCAAAAGGTTGATTTTTGGTTGGAATTGTGGGAAAGTTGTTGGTCTCACAATCGGTGTGAGGATAAGGTGAAGATAGATTTTTTTTGTGACGAAGCTTACAAGCCATGCTTCTTTGTGATGGAAGAACTACATCAAAGCTAATCTGAAGCTGATTTCTTGGACTGATTTGACGAAGGTTTTCCGCACTTTGTTTGTCAAGAAGTTTGAAAAGATTGATTTCATGATCCATTTGTTAGAGATTTGGCAAGGGACTTGGTCTTTGGATGCATATGCCTACAAGTTCCATGATCTTTGCTTTAGTCTCACGAGCACCTATAATGAGCTGCTAAAGGTGCAATGTTTTATTAAAGGATTGAGCTTAGTGGATGTGTAGCAGAAGGTCAAGAAGGATTTTCTAACAACATTGACTGATGCTATCACTAAGGCCTAGATCTTTTCGCCCAAACTGTTAGTCAACTCTGGTCAATAGGATGGTCTATGGGGTGGTCAACGTGATGACCAGCTCGCCAATGCTTTATATTCAGGGAAGAAACGATTGTTGTTTCATTGTGGCTCGAAGAATGAAGATGGCAGTGAGGCTAAGAAACTTCGTTTCGACTAGTGAGAGAAAGACAAGGTGGAGGGTAATTGTTTTCATTGCCACAGGGTTGGATATCAAAGCAAAGATTGTTCTAAAGAGGTCAATGAATAATAAAGTGATTGTGGTGAAAATTATGGGCAATAATGTGAGTGATAGTGTTTTTGGGGTTGTATTGCTTTAAGTTAGGCATTCTTTCGCATTTATGAGCCACAAGTTTGACGCTACACAGTGGAATTAGCCTACTCGCAATAAGGAGTTGTATGTTGTGATTACTGTTATGAAGGAATGGCAATATTATCTATATGGATTGGACTTTTATGTAGATTCAGATCATTAATTTCTTCAGATGTGGATCTTTGAGGCCACCTTACTCATTGGCAAGAGTTCCTGCAAGAAATATTTGTTAAGATCTAGTACAAGCATGGAGGTGACAATAAGATGGCTGATGCATTATCGAGGATGGTAAATTCTATCTCGTTTGTGAAGCTATCCAGTGATCTTTTGGATGAGCTTAAGGAGTTTGCTAACTTTGACTCCTTTATCACTGATATTCACGCGAAGGTTTTGTTGAGGGATGCCTCTATAGATTTGAAGGGTGACAAGTTTGCATTATTCAAAATACAAGATGGAATCCTGGTGAAGAAGGGACAGATGGTTCCTCATATTGACAAACTTATCAAACAGATTTTGGTTGAGTGTCATGATGTGCCAAGTGTTGGGCATCTGGGGGTATTGAGAATGTATATGTTAGTGAAGAAGTATTCATTTTGGCCTGGGATGAAGTCAAATGTTAAGAAGTACGTATGTGGTTGTTTGATCTGCCAAGCGGTCAAAGTTGATTATCAGAAGTTTGCTGGCCTGTATCATCCTTTACGTGTACCCAAGAATAAATGGGATAGCATCTCAATAGACTTTATCATTGGTTTGCCTAAAATCTTTCAAAAAAATAATGCTATTTGGGTTGTTGTGGATCGTTTGATGAAGATGGCTCACTTCTTCTTTGTGAAGACAATAATAAAAGCTTTTGAACTTGCCTAATTATTTGTAGACCAATTATTCAGTCTCTATGGTTTACTGGGTGACATTGTGAGTGATCAGGATCCCAAGTTCAAGTCCAAGTTTTGGCAAACGGTCTTTGAGAAGCTAGAGACTAAGCTGGGCATGAGTACTGGTGAGCATCCACAATCTGATGGGTAGATAGAGCGCATGAATCAGCTATTAGAAGATATGTTAAGGTCTTTTATGAGAAACTTGATTTGACAAGAAGTATGGGAGAAGTATTTGCCTTTGCTTCAGTTTGCTCACAATAGTGCTTATCAATCAACTATTGGCATGTCTCCCTTTATAGCAATGTATAGGTATGAGCCTAAGTCTCCTGTGAGTTTGAATTTGGCTTTAGTTTGGATACCTCATGCTTGTGATTTCCTGGAAGATATGCAAGACAAGTTTGAGTTGGCAAAGTTGAACATGAGGCAAGCTCAAGAGAGAGACAAAAGATTGGCTGATGAACATCGTCGTTATCAAGAGTACAAAGTTGGTGACAAAGTTTCCTTAAGTTGTAAGATGCATAATAGTCTTTGAAAGGAGGTGGCAGTGCTAAGCTATCTCCATGGTATTGTGGGCCTTGAACAATTTTACAGCATGTGGGGGATCTTGCATACACTTTGGACTTGCTAGCTAGTTCAAAAATTCATCCAACGTTCTATGTGAGCAAGCTTAAAGCATGTTTGCACTCTAGTGATGTTGTGAATCAATCCATCATCCAGGTCCTAGAGATTGATGTAGAGAAGGCTGGTTTGGCCAATATTATTGCTCAAAGATTGGTGAAAATACGCTAACATATATGGGTAGGTTAGTACTTAAAAAGCCAAGTGTAAATGGTTTATATGAATGTATAAAATCAAAATAGTGCAGTAGAAGTGTGGTCTTGGCCGTAAGGCAAAGTTATCAAGGTTTGGGAAATAACTCCCAAGTGTTCAAGGAAATAGCTTTAAACAAAAGTCAATGTTTGAGAACTTTCATGCTTATGCAAAGAACCATATTATATTAGTTGGGTAACTTGCTAAGTGGGATTGGCAAGTTAAAGGAACTAAGACCCTAATTGAAGGTGATAACTTTAAGAGAGTGGCCCATGGAGCCAACCATGGAGGAGTCTATGCATGATCACAGACTAGTCAAGTAGCTTGTTAAGTGAGAGGACTTGGAAGCTCAAAGGAACTAAGTTCCTAAGCTATAATCCATAGCACATGTTAAACATAAATTGGTGCACCGGCATGGGGAGTCATGTTAAGCACATAGGGAGTCATGCTAGGCATCTTTAGTGATGCCGCCTATAAATGCATATATGGAGGTTGGGTTCAAGTCCCAACTCTTTAGTGTTTGGGTTTGAGTCCCAATTCACTAGAGCATAGTAATGGTTTTGAATATAAGGACATTCATTTTTTGGTGGTTATAGACTGTTAGTAAGGGGGCTAGCTTAGACACACTACTAAACAGGGGATGCTCCAGAGTCATAATGCATGGTTAGATTACTTAGTGTGAAAGCTCAACATATCTAACTTAAACGAGCTTAAGCACACCACCAAGTGTGGGGGATGCCCCCGGGGTCATAGTCAAGGTGTTAAAGCGAGATCATTAAGTGATCTTATAGCTAAATAAAGACAAGGTCTTTATTAAGTTAAGGAATAAGATTTCTAATTCAAAGTGTTGATTTGAACTATTAGTGATGGTATGACTTGGTCGATGTGACCAAATAGAAAGGACACTTAAGGGAAATATCCTGTATTAATATGGTGAGTCCAAGAAAGTAATATTTAAGAAACACCTATAGAAAGGTTATAAAGTTGGGCCATAGATAAAGCACATAACAAAAAATGCTAAAAAAACTTACTAGGGATAAACACCCTTTGGATTTGGCAAAATAGAACCTTTGTTATAGAACCAAAAACATACCTCGAGGATGAAGGTAGTGTCCTTATGTTGCTTGGTACAAAAATTAAAGAATAGAAGTAAAAAACTAGTGGCCAAGATTGGGTTATAGAAATTATTGGAAAGAATCCAAGTGGCAAAGTTAGGAATGGAACACTTAGGTGTTAAATGCTAATGGATTGTGGAAAAGGAAATATATTTCCAAAGATAGATTCCCAAATGTTCCAATATCGAGAAAGTGAAAGTTCCAAGGGGGGAGTAGCAAGATAGCCAAATAATAGGATTGTGAACAGCCCTAACACAAATTATAAATAATTGGAACTTAGTGCTAAGGGTAGCATGAAATAAAAAAGAGGGTGCCCTTAAATAAAAAACTTCCTAATATAGTGTTTGCATAACTAGTGTAATACAAGGTGTAGGGCACATCTAGGAAATTGATTTGAAATGTCAATATTAAAATCCTAAAGTGTGATGGCTATGTTGGTAGAGCCTAAACCTACTCCAGAATGAGTAGTAAAATTGAGACCAAATGGATGTCTCTAATGAGTTTAGCAAGAACTAAACAAATAAAGGGAGAGAACCACTAGAAGTGGTTTAATGAATCTCTAAGTTGGAGACATTATACCCTTATGAGGATAGGCAAGGCATGGTGAGCCTTTGGTGTTGAACTATTGACAAATATTAACTTAGTGCCAAGGATGAAAATGGTAATCCATAATGAGGTTACTTTATAAAATAATTTATCATTCAATGACGACATCAAATTTCGTCTATGGGTGGTAGAGTTATGAAATATAAACCCCTAAGCCCCAAAGTGGAGTTAAAAAGGTGCCACATGGTAATGGTCGAAATGGAAGGCCAACAAATGTAACATATTTGGACCAAAAGCTTTGACTTGGAAAATCAAGAGTGGGAGTGGAACCCCGAACAAAGTGCTCAAGGAATGAGTATGAAACAATTGATGAATGAGTTTTTAAAAAGGGATACAAAAAGGACTAACACATGGTAAATATCGTGATATGTGGATGTGTAAGAAATGAGTCTGTAAAGGAGTCTGAGATGGAATCCAATATGGACCTGAGATGGACCCGAGATGGACTTGAGATGGAGTCCAAGATGGACCCGAGATGGAGTCCAAGGTCGAGTCTGAGATGGAGATTGAGATGAAGTCTGAGGTCAAATCCAAGGTCAAGATCGAGATTGAGACCAAAACCAAGACCGAGACTAAGATCAAGACCGAGACCGAGATTGAGACCAAGACTAAGTCCAAGTCCAAGTCTGAGCCCGAGTCTGAGTCTGAATCCGAGTCCGAGGGTGAAAGCCCAAAGCAATCGTCTCCCAAACCCTAGGGGGTTTGGTGAGCTCCAAAAGTATAATAGGAGGAGGACTCTAGTGGATCCAATTTTACTAAGAAAGGCCAGTATGACCAAGGAAGGTTATACCCATATGGTGGGTGATGATCTAACCACTAAGGAGTCCAAATGTAGGGTGAACACAAACACACAAATATGGTAATTTGGTGAAGTGTGCAAGAACTAACTTTAGCTCCCCTAAGAAATCGAATGGCTGATGCTCCCAATCCAAGTGGAGGTGGCACTACTTATTTGGATACATGGTGTAGCTTATTGAAACCTCGCTCTAGCTACATGGTTAGAACACCCAAACTTAGTGGTTTGGCCTTCGAGTCCTTACCTAGTGGCAATATTAGCAAATACAGCCATGGATGGAGATGGACATAGTGGGGATTGAAGAAAGGATATTGGGGAAGGGTGTTCCCCCTATCTTTGGGCATTCTAAGGATGCTAAAGTGTGGTCTAGGATGGTCATTCATAAATGGATGGCTTAGTCTTTGAGAAATGGGACTATAGCACGGGTGGTTTAGGACTACTAATGAAACAAGGGTAAATAGACATGGCCTCAATGTAATGAGTTGATATGTCAGTAGTACCTTTGGGGTGTCTATCATGGGATAAAACACGTGGAGCACTTAGACCAAGTGCAAAGGCTGAGTGGTATAGATGCCATTCTCAGGGATAGTATGTCGCGAATGTGACTTCGAGTATCAAAAGATACTTGTCGGCCAGTCCTTATAGACACTCTTTCCTTACTACTATTACAGCAGGAGGTCGGTACAGTTGGATCCCTTTGGTAGCCCCTCTTGTGCTAGTGGAGTTAACTGGGCATTTCGAGTGTACTTAGACCGGACGAGCATAAGGACAGAATTCCTACGTGCTATTAGCTAAGTATACTTAGCCCGGGGTGTGAGACATAAATCCCTAAGCCCCAAAGTGGAGTTCGTGATGGAGTCCATGATGGACTGAGATGGAGTCCGATATTGAACCGAGATGGAGTCCAAAATGGAGTCCGAGATGGAGTCCGAGATGGACACGAGATAGAGTCCGAGATGGACCTGAGATAGAGTCCGAGATGGACTGAGATGGAGTCCGAGATGGACCCGAAATGGAGTCCGAGAGGACCCGAGATGGAATCTGAGATGGAGTCCGAGAAGGACCCGAGATGGAGTCTAAAGTCGAGACCGAGACCGAGACCGGGACCGAGACTGAGACCGAGACTGGGACTGAGACCGAGACCGTGGCCGAGGCCGAGGCCGAGCCCAAGCCCGAGTCCAAGTCTGAGTCCGAGTCTAAGTCCGAGTCCGAGGCCGAGTCCGAGTCCGAGTCCAAGTTCGAGTTCGAGTTCAAGTTCGAGTCTGAGAGGGTGAAAGCCCAAAGCGTTTGTCTCCCAGACCCTAGGGCGTTTGGTGAGCTCCAAAAGTATAGTAGGAGGGGAGGACTCCAGTGGAGCTAGTTTGGCTAGGAAAGGCCAATTTGGCCCAGGAAGGCTATACCCAAGTGTTGGGTGACGGGATAGCCACTGGGAGGTCCAAGGCTAGAGTGAATATAAACTGTCAAGCGGGGTAGCTTGGTGAAGTGTTTAAGAGCTGGCTTTAGTTCCCTCAGGAGATCGAATGGTCGATGCTCTCAGTCCAAGTGTGGGTGGCACTACCTACTTGGATACCTGGCATGGCTCAATGGAACCTCGCTCTAAGCCCATGGCTAGAGCACTAAAAGGCAGAAGGTGGGGAGAGTACCTATGAGGCTCGCGTAAGGCCATGGTGTTTCGAAATGTTGTCCCAAAGTCCCAGACTATGGAAAAGAAGAGGAGTGGTCCTTTGGTGTAGTGACCAATGATACGGTCATGTGGTGAGGAAGTCCCAGAGGACAGTGGGACTTAGTGGTCGGGCTTGTGGGCCTTGTCCTAGTGGCAGT